GGTGTTCCCTATTATAGGTATAGTATACTGGGCTCCAAAAGCCTATTCTAACATTACAAGCATTATACACGCTCTGGAAATTTCAGGTCCGGCATCTCAAGAACCCCAGAAACTGACGAATGTAGAAGCCTGAACAGATAGGAGTATATGCGATTTCTTCTTTTGAGTCCCTATCATTCTAACTGTAGTAGAATATACTCCAAACCCCAATTCGAAGTATAAGGCACCCAAACCCCTAAACCCTAAACCCCTAAACCCCCTAAACCCTAGCGCAGGGAGTAGCAGAGCCAAGGCCAACCTTTCGGAGAACGGCACGGCGACTCTGGAGAACATCGTGCAGAAGAATCTTCAGAACGACTTGGGAGAGGCTGAGAAGATGGAGAAGCCGGAGATCATCGAAGAAGCGGAAGGAGGGGGAGAAAGCGATGTCGGTAGCATGAAGCCTCAAACCCAACCCGACAACCTAAAGGCCCTAAACCCCTACAAGGAGCCTGAGAAGCCCAACAGAAAGCTGTGAAGCCCTGACCTGGTGAGGCGCCGGAAACAACACCAACGAAACGACGAAGGGATTCGAAGGATTGGCGGAGAAGTTGGAGTGGTTTATGCTGAAGGTGGCGCAGTTGGAGACCTGGGCGCATAAGATTTCTGGTTTAGGGTTTAGGGTTGGGGTTCTTTAGTTTAGGGTTTAGGGTTTCATTTCCGCTGTGTAGTGCCTGGTGCTCAAAGTGCTGGTTGAGTAGAGCAAGTCTCATGAAGGAGACTGTCGTCGAGATCCAGCAGCTTGAACTCAACAAACTGAACGCGAAGCTGGACGGCCACGTGGAGACAGAGCACGACAAGGAGGTGCCCCAGCTTTCGCTTCTGGAGTTGAAGCAGCAGGAGGAGGCAAAGTCGCAGCAAGCGCAGACGATTCTGAAGAGAGTCTTCAAGAAGCACATTCATGAGATGGAGAAGAGGACCTTCGACTCATCGATAAAGGCGACGGAAGGGATGGAACCCTCAGCACGGCCGGCTCGTGCCAAACCTCCCAAGTCCAACAGGAAGAACCCAGACAGCAGCTTGCTCGAGCGCCGGCAGTCATCAGATGCGAGATCCGAGGAGGAGGGGTTCTGTAGCATCTGCCTTGCCGTGTTCAAGATATGACCCGCAACCAGCGACCGCATCCTCAAGAAACCCCAATTCAATCCAAAGTGCAATGCATTGGCTTGGAATCGTCTGAATCCCTCCAGCGGTCCGGCATCCTGCCAGGGCCTAAGTAATTGGAATTGGGATTTGGGGTGCATCATACCACAATTATAATGAGGAAACCCCAAACTAGTACAGGTATTCATGTAGGCCCCGATATTATATCGGGGGAAGTGTTTTGGCCGTGCTGGGTCTCTTCTAGTCTCCTGCTAATCGGCCGTGGCCATCCTTGTCATCGTGATGGTCCTAATATAGGGCCTAAATAATTACCTATACTCTTTTGGGGTTCCTTATTATAACTCTATTATAATATACATCAAAACCCTATTCTAATGATTAAGGCCCCTACATAAGTGGTCCTGGCAATCAGGGCCGTCGTGGTTAGGTGTCACTGTTTGGGGATGCACTCGGCAATGGCAGGTATCTTCCAGAAAGGGTCCTAGGTACTGTTATGGGGAGATACTTCTCCAAATCATGAATTGTAATTCCTAATATAGAAACCCTACATTCTACTACATAGGTACTTTGGACCCTTTGGGTTCGTCGTGATCACAGCACCGAAGCCACCGATGCAGGAAGCCGAGTGGGGCTTCATCGGCGACGCTGTGGAGGCCGGCCCTTTTCCCCTAAATCCTAAAGCCCTTATCCCCGAAGCTCCTTAAATCCCTAAACCCTAATTCTCTGAACCCCTAAACCCTTAATTTGACCCCTGAACCCCTAAACAGGCTGTTGGAGGTGTTGTTACTGATGGCGCGGGCCTCGTCGGGGATGCTTTGGGCGATGCCTATGAAGGCGCCACGGACCAGATCGCCTTTGTTGCCAATACGGCCATCGACACCGTGGGCAAGGCCGCCTCTTCAAACTGATCATAGAAGGGCCTAAATCATTACCAATTCAATACGATGTCGGGGGTTCCTTATCATGATTATAGCATAATGGACCCCCAAACCCTATTATAATTTTTTAGGCCCCAGTTCTGCTAAAGGGGCCCTCCGTGGTCCAAGAGACGTAGACCTTCAATCATACGTAGTAGGCGTACATAGCTTAAGGTCTTTATTCCGACCTCAAAAAAAAGCATTGCCGTTGGTAAGCCTTAAACCCCGGACCCTAAATTCCGAATCCTCAACCCTAAACTCCGAAGCCAAAGCCCTAAAAACCGAAACCCTAACACTCTAAACTCCAAGCCCTAAGCCCTTAACCCCAAACTCTTAACCGCTTTAACCCTACACCCGCTAAGCCCTAAACCCTGCATCCTCGAACCCTGGCCTTCTCAAGGCGATTGACATCCTTAAACGTGGGTTCAGTGATTGGAGGGCCTGGTGCTACTTGGTGGAGGCGTGAGTACCCATTAACATTTTTTATAGGGTAGGGCTTATAGGGTTTAGGGTATTGGGCTCATAGGGGTTAGGGTTTAGGGTACAGTAACATTACAGGGGCCTAAACAATTACCTCGTTTGTGGCTCCTTGTTATATTATTCATCGTATAATATGCCCCAAATATCCTATTCTAACTACAGAGGCCCTTTTATGCAGTCCCCCATGGTTTCCCTAAACCCAATCCCTAAACCCCTAAACCCTAAACCTTGGCTTTAGGTTCCTCCTTCTGACCGGATCAGCCAAGGCAGTCTCAACCTTCCCACCGCCCAATTTTCCACCCATGGAATTCACATCTTCTTCGGCGCCACGGTGGAGGGTTGCTCAAAGTGGGTGGGGTGTAGGGTTTAGGGTTTAGAGGTTCTTGTGTAGGGGCCTTTGCTATGAAGCATACCTAGGCAAGCAGACATGAACTAGTGAGGCTATTCGTCAACTTACGCTGTTTCGCAAATAAACAGACTACGCAAACCGAAGATGATGTCGGAATCCAGACCGCGAAATTGAAGTAAGTGATGTTGCCTGATGAATTTGTTAACGAGACATTGGCCGATTGCGTCTTACGTACACTGGGCGAAACTAAACTGGGGTCTCGCTAAAGGATTTAATTTATGTTACCATGATAGGGATCTGTAGTAAATAGTTTGTTTTTTATTGTGGCAACTTAAATTAAACCCCGTAACAAGAACCCAGTTTAGTATAGTTCTATTATAGTTCTCTAGATTAGGTCCCCTTTCAGGTCCTTAAAATAGCACAGCACCCGTACAAAAAGGACCCTAAAAAGGGACCCTAATTTAGTAAAGTCTGCAAGAGGACCTTGTAGTACCCGGCTCGGTGCCAAAAGGCAGTCTTGAAACGGAATCCCTCGCAACTTGCCCAAACTGGACCCTAAACCCTAAACCCTAAACCTTACAAGCACAGCCATGGTTTAGGGGTTTCAGTTTTGGGGGCCTATTACAGTTCAGGGGTTTAGGGTTTAGGGTTCCTAAACCCTGACCAGCTCTGCCACTTGAGCCTCATGGGGCAACATGTCAAGCTCTTCCATTTCCACTGGCCGAAGTACGACCTTCCCTTCCCCGAACCGCTCCTCGGCTCGATTCCGTAGGGTTTAGGCTTGAGGGCTTATGATTTAGGGCTTCGGGTTTGTGGTTTAGGGTGTGTGGTTGGGTGTTTAGGGTTTAGGGTTGAGGGTTTATGTGTTGGGGTTCAGGGTTTATATACGATTTCGTAGCTGCGTGGGGTTTAGTATCGGGTACACCTCGGTGTCTAGAGGGTCAGGGTCTTCCAGGGATTGACAGATCCTCCTATCTTTGCTTTTTGGAAGCTACAATATGAGCCAGAAAAATGTGTGAGGCCTCGGGGTCCTGAACTAATCTAACGAACAACATACTTGTTTTTGTCTGCTAAGGTAAGCCCTAAGCCGTAGATACAGCCCTGAGCACAGGCTTTTGTCCGTCACTTACCTCGGCGCGGACGGGGTTCTTCTGAAAAGCTATCTTGGTTTAGGATTCAGGGTTTAGGGTGTAGTGGGCCCAACAACTGTCATAAGGACAGCATATTATGCACTATTCTGGTAGCTTAAGTTCCTTCCCTCTGTGAATAAGACGATTAGGGAGCCCTGACACCCAGTAGTTCCTGAGCCCTGATCCCCACGCCCTAAACTGTACACCCCTAAGCCCGCACCGAACCTTTGCAACACCCTTTCAAAGCCTTGAAACGAAGCCCTACAGAACACTCCAAGCAACCCTCAGGAACCCTTAACCCCAACCCCAAGCCCAGCCCCTAAACACTGCCTTGACTCTAAACGCTACGCCCCTCAACCCCTGAACCCTATGCCCGAACCCCTACACCTCTAAACCCTCCGCTCCAGCACGGGAACACCTACACCCACCTTAACGCCAAATAACTTAAAACCTTTTATCGACCCGTATAAGGAGAATAAGTTACAATAAGGAACCCTGATGTATAGGATCCAGGTAACTTTAGGCCCTAAACCATAGACCCCTAGACCATAATCTTAAACCCTACGCCATACAGCAAGCCATATCCCCTAAACCCAATCCAAAGAAGCCCAAAGAAACCCAAAAGACTCATACTGAGGAGCCGGAAAAAAGGGTAGATGCACTAAACCCTAAACCCCTAAACCCCAAACCCTAAACCCCTAAACCCCTAAACCCTAAACCCTAAACCCAAACAAGCCCAAGAGGAGCTGGGGCAATGCACCCATCATCGGGGAGCAACCTTCTGGGCCTGCATGGGCGGGAAGATGGTGCACCTCGGCCCCCAAAAGGTTGCTTTAAGTCTTCGTTTAAGGAACCCTTTAAGCTTTAGGGGCTTAGGGTTTAGGGTTTAGTTCGTTTAAGGAACCCTTTAAGGGCTTTAGGGGGTTCAGTAGGGTTTAAGGGATTACACAAGTTGATACTGTTTCCACATAGCATTATGCCTTGTTTTTCAGGCGGTACAAGGGCTTCTAGCTTGTTTGGGGGGGCGGGGGGGGGGCAGGGAGGCTTTTGGGGGGGGTAGACATTGGAAGGTTTGGGGGGTTTTCGGACTAGGGTTTCCCGCTAGGTTCTTCGCGGATTCAGGGCTTGAGGGGCTTAATGATGGTATGTTGGAGAGCTCTTCAAGTTTCTGCTTCTGTGCCGGTTCACAAAAGCTTATGGGGGGGGGGCCGCAGAAATCGCTGCGCAGGTATAGTATATGGTAGCTCTAAGTTCACGCACCCCTCGAGATTCTTCTTTCAAGCCTGCCCCTTGTCTTGGGAATCCGAAAGGGGGTGCGACTTGTAGTGTCTTAAGGAGGAACAGATTGGTGTCTTGATATTTCGAATACCGTTTCGGTTTCGAAGACATTATACCAAACTTGGGTTCAAGCCATGAAGGGATACTATTACAAGCTATTCCGACCATTTCAAGTCTGCAGGGCCTCTAAACCCGAGACCCTAAACCCT